ATAAAATATTTACAAAAATGTGAGGGGTGTACTCACTTCTGTGAGATACTGTATATATATAATTTATATGATGTACTGTTAATAATTCATGAGTACTATATATAGTTTTATTCAAAAACTAATCTCACACACATATATATATATATATATATATATATATATATAAAACAAACTTAAGAGGGTTCGTAATGTATGACCTCTTACAAGCATATGCATATGTCTGATAAACATATTTGAGCATATCTGGATTCAATGTTTGTGTGTGTCAGTGGTGGGGGTTGTGTTCTATTGCATAATTAAATTAATTATATAGAAATGTAAAATAAATTTAATAATACAATATAATAAAACAATAATATTATGAATTATTAAATTAATTATATTATTAAATGAGAACATGGACTATTTTAAATCCTGATGTTTTTAGCTTTTGTAATCACTATCAAAAAACATAATTCACTCGGATTCAAAGTTTGACAAAGTGTATGTATTGATATCTGAAAAATGGCCTTGTGCCTCAAGCCTACGCCACATAAATCACAAAAGAGGGGTGTAGTGGAAAATATCCAAGAGGAATAGCTCTGCTCCCAAGAGTCCCTAATCAGCGAACAGAGTGGTTTCCTGCTTTTGTGAGATGTGGTTCATTAACGGCTGACAACCTTTCTTTTGCACATGCACACTGACACGCAAAGGATCGCCACTACTCTCACACACACGCGTGGATCCAGATATGTTCAAATATGTCTTCACATATAAGCTAACGCAATCATTTGAACATTTATCAACCTTATCATACAAATGCTTGTGAGCGGCCATAGATTACAAACGGTTTAAGTTAAACAGCTTTGTCCAAGAAGTTTTTAGTATGTAAATATTTGCAAAATGCCTTATCTTCACAAGCAGACCACTGATACATATCTACCTGTGCTTTCCTAATTGCATTTCTTATAAGTACTGAGAATTTCAACTGCAGAAGGGTCTTTAGGTTGTTTTTATATGATACTGAAAACATTTGTATGAACCAATAGTTAATTCCAGCAAAGATTCCTTTGACTTGCTCCACTGGACATTTTTGCACTTCTAACAGGGAGGGTCTATAAACTACCTCCCAAAGCTCGCTGTGCAAGGCCCCCCTTCACTTTCTGCCATTCAATCAAACCAGGCCTCTAGTGAACATTCTGCATGAGGAGACCAAACGCTAGAACATTGATGTAACTATTTTTCCATGAAAGAAAAGCAGGAGGGCAGGAAAACAGACTAGAATAGAGAATAGAAAATACTTTACAGGACATTGCATGAATAAAACCTGCCCTGAGCATTAGCAACTCTTATATTTCACCGTTAATCAAAGAAAAAACCCTCCAAACATCCAGTCTTGTTAAAAAAAAAAAAAAAAAAAAGTGTCTTTATTAGAAGTTCTATGGAAAAAAATTTAAAAATACAACATACAGTACAAGTTTACTCTGCACACTTTGTATACATACTCCAACTCCAGCTGACGATCACTCATTACATTCAGTGTTTTTACTTCATCTAAAAATTTTAAGTAATAGTTATTAAACTACCAAACTTAATATCCCCAGTCAGCATGTCTAGAGAAGCACAGTTGAAAGGCAGAATATCTTTCATTAGGAATGGTGCGTTCAAATGTTCTAAAAGTAGAAAAATAAACAATGAAATAGCATCTGTCACCATAAAAAAAAAAAGACATCTTGATCTATGAGCTACATTCAATTCAACTGGCTTTAGATATACACCAAAGCAACTGTTTTATTAGGTTAAACTATGTGGTTTCTTCAACCCAAGCAAGCACATATTAGCTAGTTATTAACCTCTAGATAGGAGAGTGCTACATTCTCTGGCACTAGACCGCAATCGTCACACAACTGGATTTTTTTTTTGGTTGTCATTATCCTTGGTAAAAGAGAAACAGTCATACTCGTAGGTGTGAAGTCAGTTAGTTCTTTATGGTCAAAAAGACCATCTACAAATGCCCACAGATCCTCGGTCACTTCCCTCCCTCCCGCACAAATCACAGCGTGACCTCATCAGACGCTCCCACTTTTTAATATATACATATACTGCGCGCGCACACACACACACACTAAACAATTTAAATAGCATACAATCTTAACTTATTTACAGTAAAATAAACGTTAACAAAAATATATTATGGAGACAAACCCAACAGTTTCCAGATTAATATTGACGATCACAATTTAAACAGGAATATAAGTGTATTGCTTTAGATTTGATAAATACCATATGGACTCAATTTATCCTTGATGGCCATACTTTTCACATGACAATAAATAAGTTAAATAGATTTCAAAGCATGATGCAAAATGCAATGATACCACACAGTTAAAAAAAAAAGAATCTGCAGTGACATTCCATTACCAACTTATGAGTCCCAGTTCTTGTGCTCTCACACACTTTTCAAACTTATGGAATGTTTTCCCAAGATAATTACTTCTAAATAGGCCTTTTTCTAGACTGTTGAAGCCATCATCTTGGTATGTCATTGTAAGGAAAAATGAGAAGGAAGAAATAATATAATCAGATCTCAATCATGAGACGAACACTTAGAGATAACCAACGGCTGAGACTGATATTTTACCTGAAACTCATGTCGGCACTACTTGGATAAAAGGCTGTAACAATAATACCAAGTTAATCGTCTGAAATCGACAACCTGCTGAAGATTGGCAAACGTCTATTTGCGTCCATACTGGGCGACTCCGAGCCGCTGATTGTGCCAGAGGAACAGCAAGAGCCGCTCAGGTAGCCCTCAGGATCTGAGAGGGAATCCGGTGGGCTTGGTGGAGAATCGAACACTGGAGACTCGGAGAGTGGATGCATGGAGGGTAAGTGGCTCATTTTGAAAGGCGGCGACGGGGGGCAAGCGTTGGTCTGGATGTTACCATACAAGCCACCTCTGGTCTGATGGGTAAAAGCATTTTGGGTCTGAGGGATGATGGGTGCAAGAAAAGCCTTAAGATCCTGATCCGGGAAAGTGAACGCGTTCAGACAGGGCGAGCTGGGAGTGAGTGTGCAGGTGGGCGGTGGGGGCGTGTGTGATGTTGGGTTGTCAATCAAAGCGGACTCGTTGCAGCAGAAGCTGGAGAAGCCGGAAAAGCTCAGGCTGTGGTTTAGCTTCGGTCTTTCCCTCGGTCTCAGGAATGGGTTTGAGGGTTCTTTCTCTTCCAGGACCCCAATCTCCCTGCTGATCCTTGATTGAGTGTTACTCGTAGCAGCTCTTCGCTCCTCCGCATTGTGAATGAAGTGGCAGCGGGGGCCGTATGGGCAGAAACCTATAGTGTGGAATGTGCGACATGGCTCTGTCTTGTACTTCGGGTGGCGGGACAGGTTTCTCAATTCGTGATAGCCGTGAGCGAACTGACACTTTTCCCCATACTTGCACAAGCCGTTTTCCTCAAAAGGCCTGCAAAGTTCGGTTTTGTAGCGGGTCGAGTTGATCTGAGAGCCGGGCTTTTGTTGAAGGATTTCCTGAAGTTGTTGACTGCGTTCCCCCGTGTCACTGAACGCACGGTCTCTGTACTTGTTTTCTTTATTCATGAAGGCAGGTGTCGAGCTCTCAAAACCGATCTGGAGCCTGTTGCTCATGTTGCAGTCCATGTGGTTTGATGAGTTACTCCTGAAATAACCAAAAGACCTGTTGCTGTTGGTATTGGAAGCAGCAAATGGGACCCCAACATTCCTCTTTTCCAGCATATTGTGAAGACAGATTGCATTTGAATTTGGGACTTTTTCCTGAAAGAAAACAGAATTCCTAAGCATGGATGTCAAATAGGTTTAGGAGGTATCACCATTAGTTTAAGTAATTAGAAAGAAAATAATCACTATTGTACATGACCATCATCCAGTGGCATAAGTTAAAGGACAATGTAAATGTAAAAAAAAAAAAAAAAATTATATACACACACACGTATACATTTTCAAGAAAGTAAAATGTTAACTGACAGAACAGGTATGATATGAATCAGCAAGTTCTTGTTTAAATTGATATTAATGGAATCTTTATGTATGCTTTTTAAATATGTAAAAATAATATATGACTTGACGGACCTTATGGTTTATGCATGTCTGGATTTGTTTTCAATTTTATATGCTGTCTGGAGTTCAAATGCTTTATATTTTAGATAAGAGGTTTAAAAATGGATGGGTGCTGGCATGCTATTATTTTAAATATGTAGTTAAATACAAATTCATCCATAAAACCTAAAATCAAGCTTTTCAACTGATGTTACAGCTTATAGCACTACTGGGAAAGTGGTCACAACACCCCTCATTGTACTTGACATTTGCGGCTAAGAAATAGATTTCAAAAACTACCTTAATTTGTAGCATACATGTGCGGATGCAAAATCAAAGTTTGTAAGCATAAAGCACACCGTCTGTAACACAGTTACAGAAGGTCAAACAAAATGAGTTACAGGTCTCCCAACAGCGCATTATTATGCGTTACAGAAGACTAGTGAGTAAACAACGAGCTCTCACGTTACAAGTTTGCCAGCACGGATAAATCGAGAAAACAAACCAGGATAAACAAAACAATCAGATAAGCTGAGAAAATAAAGCAGCAGAAATGAATATAGGTAAAATATAAACTCTTACCCTGTCGAAATCATATATGGAAGACAGCACCGAAGCAGACATTTTCTATAGCGACTTCCAGCTTAGGGGGAAAAAGTTTTCGGATCGAGAAGGATCCTCGTGTACTCAGAGAAATCCACGGCTGAATGGGGTTTGCCTCTTCACACGGAGTCGTTAAGGCGCTGGAGTTCTTTGGAGTTGAACCCCACAGATTTTGGAAGTGTCGTACATGGGCAAAGTTTGCACATGTGTATAAATGCGTTGCAGCTGCTGAAGGGCGGAGCTCGACAAAGTTTCAACAGTGCGAACGAAGCCCCGCCCTTATCGTTACGTGGTTTCGGTAACTCCTCCCTCTAGACTTCATCTGCTCCATCGCGCATTGCCTGCCTCGAGAGAGACAATCAACACTACATAAATTCAACTCGGGTGCTTGAAATCTGACTCTCTAGTTCCCCGCAGGAGGTCTGACTCTAGATTCTTCCTTTTTAAAACTTTAAATAGTATTTTTAAATAGTATCTCCATCTAAGCTACTTCCAAAATGACACACCTATGAGTAATGCACCACTGACTGCATATTGTTGTTTACAGATTTTTGCATAGCCTAATATAGTGGTTCTCAGTCCTGGTTATGGAGAACCTCACAGCCTTGCACATTTTGCAATGGATATCTCCCTTATATTTGACACATTCATTTCAGGTCTTGCAGCCTTTACAATGTCCCCTGTGTTGAAATGTGTTTTGACATTATAATACATTTTTGGAATATATTAACACTTTTTATGTGGAGTTTAAGTCAGGAATTAAGATGTGTACAGTTTTAGATTTGTTATGCTTTTGAAAGAAGGCTCATTCTCTCAAAGTTTGTTTGTATCTGATCAAAACTACTGTAAAACAATAATATTGTGAAATAGTATTACAATTTAAAATAGCTGTTTTCTATTTTAATATATTTTAAAATGTAATGTATTCCTGTGATAACAAAGCTGAATTTTTAGCAGCCATTTCTTCACTCTTCAGTGTCACATGATCCTTCAGAAATCATTCTAATATGATTAATATTGTTTGCACAAGAAACATTTCTTACTATTATCAATTTTGCTGCTTAATATGTTTGTGCAAAATGTGATCCATTTTTATCAAGTTCAAAGGAACAGCAGATTTGTGCTACTTTGCTTGACATTTGAAAATCTGTTTTAATCTGACACTAGTTTGACCATGCAGTAACCCCATTCTATTATATTCATAATTGGTTAAAATTTTGTCTGCCCAACTGGTTAAATGTATGCATAATAAATTCAATGAGTGAAAGCATTATTTGTTTCCACACTAAATTCATTGACTCATGGAAAGGAGAGCTGCCAGCTCTGTTTGTGGGATCCTAATTCAGTGGCAATTTAAGTTCAGTCCATGTGAAATTCCCATCAATTTAAATTTGGCAGTTTCTCTTAGCAGTCATCACCACAGTGGCATCCCAAATGTAGGATGATCAGACCCATGTATTATGTAATATGTTACATGATTTACAGGGCCATCTCATTTTGCGTGATTCAACTTGTGCCACAGCCATATCACCCTGCAGCCCAAGACTGGTTGCCCACTGAAGCTAAGCAGGGTTGAGCCAGGTCAGTACCTGGATGGGAGACCTCCTGGGAAAACTAGGTTGCTGTTGGAAGAGGTGTTAGTGAGGCCAGCAGGGGGTGCTCAGCCTGTGGTCTGTGTGGATCCTAACACCCCAGTATAGTGATGGGGACACTATACTGTCAAAAAGCACCGTCCTACATTAAACCGAGCTTCTCACTATCTGTGGTCACAAAAAATCCCATAGCACTTCTCGTAAAGAGTAGGGGTGTAACCCTGGTGTCCTGGCCAAATTGCCACCACTGGCCCTTGTCAATCATGGCCTCCTAATAATCCCCATCCACTTGATTGGCTCTATGACTTTCTCTCCTCTCCACCTCATCCACCAGTGGATGCTGCACACTGGTGGTGGTTGAGGAGAGACCCCCCATGTGATTGTAAAGTGCTTTGGGTGTACAGCAATACACAATAAAGCGCTATACAAATACATCATTCATTCATTCATATAAACTAAAGATTAACTGCTCATAGTGGATAGGTAAGTGGAAGAACACTAATTATAGTAGATGCAGTTCTTGGCTACAAACCTTCAATTTAGAGCTCTAAATTACATGCAAAGTGCAAGCCTAAGATCTGACATGGCCCATGGACAACTGAATCAACCCACCAAAATAATAATAATAAAAAGAAGAAGAAAACTCTCAAACAAAACTCTGTCCACAGAAACCACTCATCCATTACACTGACTCCGGTTCTTGCTTGCTGTTCCGATCATTCCAAAACATTACATCATTGCACAGAGAGGGAACATCGCTACTATGGCCAGAGCGGCTGCCAAGGCGTCTGCACAGGACTGTACACTGGCTCCTTTGTGATGTCCACAATGTGTGTCCAAGGCAACCACTAGGTAGAGAGGACGGCCCATAAGGGAACGCTTCTTGTCTTCCACGACAACACATGGTAATGTTGAACATTCTTTCTCTATCTGTATTGTTGCTGTGTCGAGTCACACTGACTGTTTGAAGATGCTGTTGCTAATGTCTGCTGGAGGTTCATGTTGCGTGTATCATATTCTTTGCTGAATATGGACCACTGATGTCTCACTGAAAGTATTGTCCGGTTTGGGCCTTTGTTTTCACCCCAGGATCTTCCCTATAGGCCATAAAGCATCCAGAAGCCATGTTTGAGGTCTGCTCTGCTTGTTTATGTACGGTTACACCCAGAGCTGAATTTAACCCCAGCTTCCATCTGCTGCAGCACCCAGGGCCTGACGGAGATGAGACCGGTTTGGGTCGGTCTGCACCGCTCGCTTGCTACTAAGCACAACTTGCTTGTGTGTTATTATCGTCAGAGGCGTCTCCTCTGTGGCAATAATCTTTTTTAGCCTTTTTTTTTTTTTTTTTGCTTACGTTGACCTTAAGGTTCATTCAAGGTACTTTGTAGCCAGATTTCACTGTCAGTATTATAGTAAATATGAAAATATGAAAACATTAAATAAGGAAATAATTAGCAAAGAATATTAAAAAAGAGGAAAACACATTATAAATTTTTTTTTGTCACTGTCATTTTCCCATTTCCCAATTTTTAATTAGCATTTTATATAATTGTTTTTAGCTGGATTTCATGTCAATTTTATAGTAAATAAGAAACATTTTAAATAATAAACAAGGAAATATTTAATAATGAATAATAAAAAGGAAGCAAACATTGGGCCTCATTTAGCAATCTAACGTAGAAACGAGCGCAGATCTGTGCGCACAAATCAACTTACGACAGAGTTCACGTGTGATTTATGAAACATTCGTACGAATGATCGTATGTTGATAAATGTGGCGCCAGAAAACAATCATCATTTGAATATCACGCCCCTAAAAACACCCCGGTTTTGAAGCCTCGCAGAGTTTACGACACGAAGAAACGAAACCCGGCCAAAAAGAGAAAGTAATCTCGCTAAAGAGAAATTGATCTTACTCCAAAAACACCCGTTAACCTTGTAGGCCTACATTAATATATGTAATTTATATGTATATTAAAATACTGGTAAATATAAACAGCCTATTTAGTTCCCCTCACTCTACAACAAATATTTTTAATTTAATGGTATTCAGAACAGAACAAGAATGAAAAATAAGTAGTTATAAAATTATATTTTAAACTGTAAAATAAAACAAATTAGGCTATAGTGGCATTCATTATAAACAGCATACAAATGTCAAGCAAAACTGAAACGGCATTGGGCTCACGCGCCTGTCTCATACCACAAGAATAAATTTTTTTGTATCAATTTTTGCCATATTTGTAACATTAGTTTGCATAACTATTATTCATTATGTAGCCTAAACATGGCTTTATACTTCAGTCATGTTGCATAGCCTATACTTGTTGCACAGTGTTTTTTCCCCCTTTTGTTAATCTTTTAGTTATATTATAGCCTATTATATGTTTTGTGGGATCCTATTGATTTTAATCCTTTTATAAACTTAATTTCTGTTTTTCTCCTTTCACAGAAGCGCTGCAGGTGCATGATGCGACGATTGAATTTATCCTCATGGTCGTTTATGCTGCTATTCGCGCATATAAAGCTAAAGCCCTGTACAAAACAACACCAAAAAATACATTCTAATCTGACTGCTTAATGATCGACTAATGAGCTTCGTTTGACTGTCAGGAATATAAAAATGAACAAAATGCTGTCAATCTACAATTCTCCACCGTATTTACTATGCTGTGCGCAAGTTCAGGTAACTCAAAAACTTGCGTACACGAGCTGAGAGCAGACGTGAGATTGGATCGTAGCCACCGCTCGCGTCCATGTTGATCAATTCCACGTTTTGCGTTGAAACGACCGTACGCCCAATTTTCTGTCGTACGTTCGTTTCGTAAATGAGGCCCATTATTATTATTATTTAAATTTGACTGTTATTATCAGTTGTAAGAAAGTTTTCTACTAGCATTTTTTCGAAATATGATGGTAAATATGAACATGTTTAAATAATAAGCAGAAATATTTAACAAAGAAAATTAAAAAAGGAGGAAACCCATCATAAAAATCATTTTCATTTCGTAAGACATTTTTAAATTTTTTTTTTTGGCATTTTATTGAATTTGGTTTTAGCCAGACTTCGTCATTTTTATAAATATGAGGAAAAAATAAATAAAGAATGTTAAACAAATCTGTTTTTCTCATTTTAACTTGTATTACAATTTTCTATTAGCCTTTTATTGAATTTTGTCAATTTATACTAATATGGTAAATATGAACATGTTTAAATAATAAACAGAAATATTTAACAAAGAAGATTAAAAAAGGAGGAAACCCATCATAAAAATCATTTTCATTTCGTAAGACATTTTAAAAAAATGTTTTGGCATTTTATTGAATTTGGTTTTAGCCAGACTTCGTCATTTTTATAAATATGAGGAAAAAATAAATAAAGAATGTTAAACAAATCTGTTTTTCTCATTTTAACTTGTATTACAATTTTCTATTAGCCTTTTATTGAATTTTGTCAATTTATACTAATATACTCATTCACACATCCTTGTTTTCATGCAAGTTAAACTAAACTGACAGCATTTGTGGTATATTATTGATTACAACAAAATAAATCATTTTGACTCGCCTCATTAAAAAAAAATTATAGTGAAGGCTGATTTTTTGGGGAGGATTTTTAAAGCAGGATTCAGTAAAATAAGTATTATTAGTGTTGTTTAAATATTTTTTTATGTCATTTTAGGTTTATGCCATTGTGTTGCCATTGTGATTCAGTTTTATAAATATGAGGAAAAAATAAATAAAGAATGTTAAACAAATCTGTTTTTCTCATTTTAACTTG